AAATGATGCTAAAGCTTGATTTGTAGAGACCGTTAGACTAACTTGCCCGTGAAATATCTATTTTACTTCTACAATATATAATTTTTAGTGATGCTATAGTATTTGAATAAAACACTTTAACGGTTTAAAACGCGATATGTTAGTTAAACTTATTTGAAAATGATTTTTAAATTCGGCCCGACTTTTCGGATGCTTTGCAGCAGCCGTGGTCACGGGGAGACTGTGTGTGCTAACTAATATATCGCATTTTAAACCGTTAAAGTGTTTTATTTAAATACTATAACATAGACAGTATTTGATGTTATAGTAGTTAAACTTTAAAATATACACCATTTTATTGTTAAAACAAACATCTTTGTGTATCAAAATTCGACTCTGGTAAAAAGCCGTCAAGTTTAATCGCGTTTCGGTTGCATTCTAGATTTCTGAATATCCAAAGCCGAAATAGATCGACAGCGCATCTTCTTTGGATGTTATACGGCTGGAGTGTTTCACCTACCATCGAGTAAACCCCGTGCATGTCTGTAAACTCCTCTATCTAAAAACTTAGACTTCTTTGCTTTATTACCGTTAAATGACTATTTAAATATGAACTACATATTGTTAATACATAGTTTATAGCACTCGTCAGTCGGTTTATGCATGAATGCTGTCGAGTGGTATCGTGTCGTGTAATGCCTATGGGATATTGAGACACGCGCATAGCTTGCATGTGTAATAAGATATGAGCTTTATGCATCCATCGGGTGACAGTTGCCACGGAAATGGGGGCTTATACAATGAAGCTCAGACGTGGTTATTGTGGGTATTATATTTGCGAGGCTTGCGAGTAGAGTTTAAGTTGAATTGTAAAGCTATTTGGGTTTTAAAAATCGATTTTTGCCGCAGGACGGGAAGGCCAATTAGGTAATTCGTCTTTAAAGTAGAATTTTAATTCATTATGTGCCCGTCAAGCATGGCGTTCGCTGGAAGATATACCCTGTACAAATAAAACACTTTTAACGGTTTAAAACACGAAAGATATAATAACTTACTTGAACTGCGTACCCGATGTTACAGATGCTTTGCGGCATGCAAATTATATTATTTCTTGAATTTATTAAAACCACATTTAAAACTCTAGATCTATACAAAACAGCATACCGGTAAACAAGAGGTCACCGTGACTAAGTTATTAAGGATTGGTTTCGATAAATACAAACTACGAGAACACATGGCGCTTGCCTACCATTTTTGCATTGTTACCCTCCATCTCCTATCACCAGGGCCACTGCAAATTCCGGAAATCGGGCCTTACTTAAAAAAAATTGGACTAATGTATTACGCGTTATAAACCGTAAACTATACACAATACTTTGATATAACCCAGCCCTGATGAGTTCTGAACAAAATGAGTTCTCGTATTTTGGATTTAAACATTCGGAAATCCACGGAGATAAACCGTAACGAAATTTCATCGATATTTTTACCATCCATTTAATTAGCGGTGGAAATTCACGACACGTTGATTACTAGCCGTAGATTGATACAATTGGACCGTCGACTGACGTGGATAATGGCATTATATACAAGTCTTGCAAGTAATTGATTCTGGAAAGTACTTGAAGGCTTTATTGGTAAATCGCTGGCTTGACAAGCTCGGGTTCAAGACCCTTTTGTAAATTGATAAATGACATAATTTAACATAATTCTTTAATGCCGATATGATTTTTTAACCATTTCTTACGATACAGAGAATAGGATATCGAATTTTAAAACGTAAGTGTTAAGGTCGAAATTACATTGCGCGAGAGACTATAAATGGATTAAACAAATTTGATAATGGGGAACAAAGGGACGCTGTAGCTTGAAATAAGCTATTGTTTAGCATGAAATACTGTGGTCGTAAGTTCGATTTATAAAGTAATTCAGTTGATTCTCAAAAAAATTTCATTGACTTTTATAATTTTTAATTTGCGTATCCGTTAACGATATTTAAAGATTATGTGTTGTGAAATATAAAAAAAGTAAAATCCTGTATCCTTCGTGGGGCATGGGACGTAGATATTTCCGTGGCCGTTTCACCATCGATTCCTTTAAGAGCAACTTGCTCAGACTTTTTGGCCTGCCTGAAACAATTTATTCTTACCCTGGGATTCGAATTCAACACCTCTCTTGCTCAACGTCTAACTAAAAGTACTTTTGAATCGGCCTTAGAAATTAAAAATCGTTCTTGCTACAGACCCAAAGAGTAATTGAAATACCCTTAATTAAACGGAAAAGCGAACAGGTTTTTCTCTTTAATAACGACGTGGCATAGAAGTCTTAATAAGAATTCCTAGGTGGGCGCACTGTAGTCTTTTTAATTTCTGCAGCCTCCCTTTGTCCGCGGCGGACATCCTTTCTCCGCAACGTAACTGATTTCACTAGTAATTTCCTCTCCCCCTTCACGCCGCCTCCCACTCGGGAAATTGAACTTTTGTTGAATCTTAAATTCTGTATGTGCGGATTTCAGTTTGTTATTATTTAAAAATCGAAAATAAATTTAAAAAAATTTCGGCTCGGACAGGACTTGAACCGGCGTCGTCAGCCTTCCGTGTTGTCGCTCTAACAATTGAGCAACCGAGTTCTACACCTCAACGGTGTTTTTTTTCAACTTATTAATACATGTACCTTTCGTGTAATTCACTTTGCTATTTATTGTTGAGTTCTGGTAGTGACTGCATTCGACTCCAGATCATAAGGTCACAAATTTTAGCTTTTTTATGATAGAAGAGAACAGACAAGCAATTGGTTCATCTGAAGGTAAAATACCCCATATAACCATCTGTGAATGGTGGTTCATGAATATTTCGATATTATATCAACGTGTCTTGAGGAGCTCGATAAGCTATCCTTTTGGGAATCACTAAGTATTATAATATATAATATTTACGCGACTAGTACACATGTAAATAAAACATAGGTTAACGGTGTAAAACGCGAAATATTATAGTTGACTTATTGTTCATTAATGTAACTAAGGACCGACGTTTCGGATGCTTTCTATTTAATTCAATTGCTTTTGATCATCACTTTTAGTGATAATCGTTTGGGACCTAGCCGCATTGAAGAGTCGTGGTGGGTTAAAGCTCTTACTTGAAAGGAAATTGGCGTCCAGCTATGGGACATTATTAGGTTGAAACTCCGTTCGAGTAATTAATAATTTCTCTGCGGAGCTGCAGTAATGAATTTCACTGAAGCTAAGGTAGGCCTTTGTTCGGGACGCTATGGGGCGTGTAACGTTCAGCTTATAACTTTGTAGTTCATTAAAATTTTAACACTCATATCATTGACGATGTATGCTTTTAAAGTTTGAGCAACTGAGACTGTCTAAGTACGTATTTAATATTAAAACGATGATGTATTGCTTGAAACAAGATTCTGAGATGTTATATAAGATCATATTTTATAGACTCCTTGGTGTAATGGTAGCGACGGGTCGAGAGTCCGTTCCCAGCAGGACCAAGATTTGACTTTTTTGAAAATTTTATGGATTCTGGTTCGATCACCAATGAAAAGGCCGTGTAATCGCGTTTCGATTTCAATGTGGGGATTTCAAATATCCAAAGCCAAAATAGATCGACAGCACATCTTGTTTAGGTGCTTTATGGCTGAGATATTTCATCTATCATCGAGTGAATACCGTGCTTGTCTGTCTTTCTCTATCATAAATTAAATGAATCTTATCTATCGTAAATTAAAGTGTATCTAATTTTTGTAATCTAATTAAAGATATAGAGTAGATTCACCACGATAATAATAATAAAACACTTATCGTTCAAATTAATGTATTATTACCTATACAATTTATTTAATAAATTAAAAAGATAAGAAAATTTTCTATAAAGAGAAATATCTAAATAGTTTTAAAGTATGGCAATCCGTAAATTTTACTAAATGTTCTTTCGCCTCTTGCGCAGATCAGAAAAATAGTATATTTATATCAACTCGGTAGCGCTTGTTACTTCAGACGTTATTTAGTGTAGTGTGTATGTCATCGTTATATTTTTAAATTTCTAGATCTCCAGTTTAAATCTCGACAGTGTCTTAATCTTCGACATTTTGATTGACCGTAATAAAATGTATTCTCAATTTGCACTTACATATAATATTTAAAATGTATTAAAATAAACCACTTTTGACGGTTCAAACGTGAATAGAGAACGCGCAAGTAATATGCAGTGTAATATGATAGTTTAACGTCAGTGGTTATAATATTATTTTAAATTTAAAAATGAATTAACCAATATATTTCGCGTTTTAAACCGTTACATGGGATTTATTTAAATGTAAACTCCTTGAGTAAACGACAGACAATACTAATGTTAATATCAAGTTAGACATGTGTTGTGTCTGTTCTACTGATCGTTTTATGTACAGGCGACAAACTATGTCTTCCTGGGATGTGAACCATAATGTTTTCAAGGGTTGAGTTACAGAGGCGATCTTATAGCCCTATTGTAGTTTTGAATATTTAAATAAAGAATAGTTAAAAACTAATATTTTTCACATGTTTCCGCACTATATTAAAAATCGACAATAAATTGAAAAATACCTGCCCGGTGTCGTCAATTCTTTCCATTTATAATCGATTTTAAATTTGAATAACAGTTTAATTTTTTTCTAATCAATCCTAGGGTTTATTTCAAATGTGTACCATTGTCTCTGTTATGAACTTAAAAGTCAGCATCTCTAAAACTTGAATTATTTAACGCAAGAGACAGACTGCATTGTATTAATAAAACACTTTAACGGTTTAAAACGATATATATTCGTTGAACTTATTCCTATAGTTCCCTAGTGACCACGACCGCTGCAAAGCATCCGAAATGTCGGGCCGTAGTTAAAATAATTTTCAAATATGTTTAACGAATATATATCGCGTTTTGAACCGTCAAAGTGTGTCATTTAAATGTGTAGTCGCGCAAACTACAGACAGACTGCGTTGTATAAAACGTCCCATTGCATTTCCTTTTCAGCGGCCGTGTAACTGTCAACGAGCGAGAAAACGCTGCCATTGTTTCCGACCGCACAGCAACGAAATATGGCTTTTCTCGAGGTACTCCACCGGCTGGAAGTGAGTATCTTTTGTTTCAATATAACAAATACTCATGCGCACGAGCTATAATTACGACGCAAATGAAAAGTTCTCTATTGAATTTGTTCTGCGCGAGGCGTCTTTTGATGTTTCAGTGTAAACACTTTATTTCTAGCGCTGTGTTGTGTAATTATTTTATATGCAAAAAAAACCTTTGACTAAGTACGAAAAGCGACTTTGAATTCTCATGAATACGACTAACTGCTACCCGCGGCTCCACGTAAAAACAATGGCCATATGAAAAAAAATCTCTTTCGCTCGTCGTTTACGCAAGTAGTACACATTTATATCAAACACCTCTAACGATTCAAAACGCTTAATTTAGTTAACTTATTGTTAATTTATATGACTTAAGTATGGCGTTTCGGATTCTTGTAGCAGTCATGGTCACGGGAGGGCTTGATATGGAAGGCTTCCCTAATGTCAAAGTCAAATCTGTCTATAGTTTACGCGATTAGTACACATTTAAATAAAACACTTTAACGGTTTAAAACGCGATATATTAATTAAATTTGTTTGAAAATGATTTTTAACTTCGGCTCGACGTTACGGCTGCTGCCATATATCTATTTCGTTCTGTTCATGTTGTTTTGGGATCTAGTGTTTGAATTGAGGATGCCAGGCTTCGAGATATCAAACAATTTTGAAGCCGTCCTCGCTTTTGTAATTTGGACATTATGTCAGTCTCCCGTGACCGTAGGTAACGCAAAGCATCCGAAACGTCAGATCGTAGTTAATATAAATACAAAATTAATTTTATGTTAGTTTATATAAAAATTGCTTTATTTTTTTTACGTGAAGCCGCGGGTAGCTGTTACTTGTATTCATGAAAATCTGTTTTAAGTTAAATCGTTTTAAACAGTTTTTTGTTAACACCTTCGGAAGCTTCACCACACGTGGCGCATATTAATCTTCGTGGGGTTAAGTTTAACGGCAACTTCTAAGTAGGTACATATGTTTAACGGCAATAAATTCACGTCAACTCGTAAGTCGGTTTTGAAATTCAAATTTGACTGATCATTGTCGGCTTCGGTCGCCTAGAAACGCCTATAATCGGGAACAACATTACGCCGCTTTGTAATACAGAACTGTATTGTTGTCTCTTTTACACAACCACTAAATGGTTAAACGTGTTGAACGCGAAAGATTCTTGTTTCTAGTCCCGGAGACATAATAGATTGTTTAGGGCAGGGCACAGAAGTCTGATCTACATCGTCTAGTATCTATCTAGTCGTGTCTATACAACCGGTCAGTGTTACGGACGCAGTGGTCACCCCATGCGCCTGTGCGGGAAGAGTTTTCACACGTCTTGCTTTTTTTACTATTTTAGCGGCTTTAATGCGAGAGTTGTTTGTCAACGAATATTTTGAATATTATCTTTTGCGCATGCGCCACTGTGTCCGGTCTGTTCGGTCAAAATAGACATTTGACATAAACATAAATCCTAGAAAGGTAAAAACAGAGACGTTTAATACATCTTTATAAATAAAATGGTCAAAAATCTCCTTCTTTACTACTTTTGCACAAAAAATGCACTTCAAAGTATAAAATTAAGGGTTTTCCATTTTTATGGAAATAAAATTTCCTTGTGAAAATAGGATAATAGTTGTACATTATACAATTTCCTACTTTTTCATACGACCGTCACGAGATATCATCTAGAGTAACACCATAGCGTTTATAGGAGACCGCGGCCTTTAGATTACATCAGACCGGCGCCGACTTTAATGTCCTCGAACGAAACGATAGATCCTTGATTTGGGCATGCAAATGTACCGAATGTGAGCACTTAGTACACCGCCCATGCAAATCACCTCCCCTGGCCATTGTTCGCGCGCCCTTGGAGATTATACGACCGTTTCAAAACACGCAGGGAGAATAGTTAATTGAAAACAAATTTCGGTCCGGCTAAGCTACTGGAATCCTCAATTGGCCTGTCTGCGAGCGAACAAATCATAGACCTTTTTAAATTTATCACGCTTCCGGCCCGTGCAGGTTTTGGCCATGAATTTTAAGTTTCGCTCTCGCTTAGCTATTGTTCATGTGAGACCGTGTTTTGTTTTGCCTTTAACGGACGTTATCCCTTCTGGCGTGAATAAATAAATATACGAAGGATTAATTTAACCCCAAGTCTTGCGGCCATCAGTATACATTTGTCGAAATATTAAAAATGCCTATTATAACGGTGAAGAGTACCTGTTTTCGCGGGAACTACTCGTTTGAAATTGTATAAATCATCGCTTGCGATTAATAGAATTGAAGAAAACAATACGTATAAAATAATAATTCCTCTTTAAACGATCAAAAAAAATGTCCGGAACAGTAAATGTCTATCTTTCAAGATTCCCTTGCAAAACGACGGGGTTGGTAATTTTATAAAAATGAGGAGGTTAGTTGAAACAAATTTTGATACCCAAAATAACTATTCTACGTCGCTATAGCTAGTAAAAAAAAATTATTTATAACCCACAATACTTCCACCCCTTTTGTTAGTCAGTAGCATTCTATGAATGTTGTGAATATGTTTAAGTGAAAAAGAAGTTTTCAATGAAGCGTTTGATTGGTTAGAAGGCTTATAATTTATCGTTACTTGAAGCTAAAGTATTCGGTATATCTGTCGACAGTCTATACAAAGGGTCGTCATTTATATTGCCTTTATACGACTAGACATAACGAGCTATTCAGTCTCACAACAATGATTTTTATTCAAAGAGTTTAAATATTTACATATTATATCCATTCTCTTATACAATTTCAAAGGTGTCATAACTAGCTATTATTGTTGTATTGTCTTGTTATCGTTCAAATATACAACTCAGTATCAAACAAAGATCAATATGTAAAAAACTTGTACCTGAGGCAGCGATGAAGGTAGTTTGTTATTTTTTAAAACCTATTGTCACTGTCATTTTCGCTACTTTAAAATCTTTAGGAGTCGTGTCGTTGATTGCCAATACGTGATAAGAAGTCTTAATAATATTTGAGACTAGCATAATAGCAAAATATTTTTTATGAATACTAGAGATGGGAGGCGTATTGAACCGAAACCGAAGTACGGTTGGGATTTGGCAACATCGGAATTATGATTATTGGCGTTTTTCGGTTACGGCTAATTCATTTTTGTTCATCAATGGATACACATTAAATATAAATATTATTTTATGTCAATGGGATAGTAACGTTATTATCTACTATTTTATTTAGCTATCCTTTTTATTATTGAGTTAAGTAAATTAGATGTTTAGTTCTAAATTACGTGTATGTACAAAAAATTTCTTTCAATATTTTATGATAGTGGAGGATACACAAGCATGGGGTCCCCTATATATATATATAATAGATACCAGACCCAGCATATAACTAAACGACCTCCTTCTACCGTCCATTTTAAGCGAATTCTAAAAAGGTCGGTTATTAGCAATATATTCAACTAGTCTGTCGACGTTAGTCGTATACGTTAGATCATTTCAAGCCGAAATTTGCGATTAACCGAACATGAATTTCGTCCATCCCTAATAAAGATCGTTACTTCTTATCGTACTTCTCACGATTTGAGTATTGAGCTTGTAAGCTATTAATTTGTTTTGTTTATTCAACGGACCTCCCAAGTTGGCGCCCAACGGGCGGTCTTCTTACCCCTTATATGAATTAAGCTAAAACAATCACCTGTTTATTTGTACTTGATGAAACGTCTGGTAAGAACATAAGTACATTTTTATGATAGAGGAGGACAACAAGATGTGCTGTCGACCCATTGGGCCTTCAAATTTTCGGACTCAAACCGAAACGTGATTGTAACCCCAAAACCCAACTCGGACGAATGGAGGCTACACAATTTATTTGTATGTTTGTTTAGTTTTTACGGGTTTAAGAATGATATTTATAAATGATACGATAAAGGCAGGTTATTAAGGTTTGAAGCCTTAATATGGAATAGCGCAGTAGGGGTTTTGTGGCCAGCATCTTTTGAAGTGAACACTTCTTTAGCGATGCGTCGTGCATTGTGCACTTTTTTAGTGATGTGTTATAGAATCTTAACTCGCGTCAGGGCACTTGACCTTATCAAAATTTTGTAAGGAGAGTATTGTAATGTTAACTTATATGGTTAAAGCATTTCAAAATATCAAAAAAACTCAACGTTAATATTCAAAGTCACTTCTGTGGTCTGCCGGTCCTGCAGAGAGTATTTTTTTTGTACTGTCTGTAGTTTGCGCGAATAGTACACATTTAAATAAAACACTTCAACGGTTTAAAACGCAAAATATATTAGTCAAACTTATTTACAAGCTTTGCAGCAGCCGTCGCATCCCGTGACTATGCTGCAAAGCATCCTAAAGGCCGGGCCGTAGTAAAATAATTTGTTAATAAGTTTTATTAATATAAATCTCGTTTTAAACGGTTAAAATGTTTTATTTAAAAGTGTATGTTAAGTATTGTGTATAGCTTAGACGCTTTAGTAAAAAAGGGTTCAAACGCGTAATAAAACTAACTCAAGGAAAGTGTATAGGTAACAGGTAGAAACGAAGGGTGTGCAACGTAAAAGAACTTCGCTTCATACTTGTGCTAGATTTAAATATATGTCTTCAGACATTAAAATGCATGAATCTCCCAACGGACTAAAACAGCTCTTAATCTAAGTTAGCCGTATATTCACGCAGTCTTAAGAAGTTGTTTTACGTGGCGATGGTAAGATGGTAGATAAAATTCTGAGCTGTGAAACGGACACAGAAATGTGTTCGCCCTTGCCCCACGGATAGAAACGGGATAGTGGCTGCGACTTCGTCCACATGGGATAGTTCCTTCTCATCTTTATACATTTTGGCTAATGCACGTAAGGGAAGCGTTATGTGCATCATTGTTGCAAGTTAATGTTGAAAGAGTTATTTTTTGTAGATATTTTAAAGAGGAATCATTCTTTTATCTATTTTTTGGGTATCCGCCTGATGCGTTTGCGCAGCGCTTGCTACGGAAACCCACGA